TTTTGATAGCTGAACTAGGTACAAAGGTAATAAACTCAGAAGTTACAAAGGTAGTGAATCCTATAGGTAAAGTTATTTACTTACGTTTATACATGGCTACAATCATGAACAAATAATAAAGTAATGAGCAATTCACACGTCCGCACCCGGTCACAACTGTAATGAGTTACTGGTGCAAATATTGATTGTTGGATCCAAAATAAGCAGACTCTTGGATGTCACTACTGCCCGGCCTCCGGCTGGGTTACAAGTATCTTTGACAGGTTGAATCACCACCACCAGATATAGACCAAACGAAATGTAAACTTTGTCAGATGAACTATTGTCACACCCTGCGTCATTATGTACTGGAGTGCGATAAAATTAATGAATTTAGAGACAACTCACTCAGAAATGTTCAAGAAATGGCAAAGTATTTTATTCACAGTGGTATATTACTGACCATTCTGGAGAAATACCCTGACTTTGCTAGCTGTAAATAAAGCATTACCACGTTGTGTGTGTGTGTGTGTGTGTGTATGTGTGTGTATGTGTGTGTATGTGTGTGTGTGTGTGTGTGTGTGTGTGTGTGTGTGTGTGTGTGTGTGTGTGTGTGTGTGTGTGTGTGTGTGTGTGTGTGTGCGTGTACTCACCTAGTTGTACTCACCTAGTTGAGGTTGCAGGGGTCGAGTCCAAGCTCCTGGCCCCGCCTCTTCACTGGTCGCTACTAGGTCACTCTCCCTGAACCATGAGCTTTATCGTACCTCTGCTTAAAGCTATGTATGGATCCTGACTCCACTACATCGCTTCCCAAACTATTCCACTTCCTGACTACTCTGTGGCTGAAGAAATGCTTCCTAACATCCCTGTGATTCATCTGTGTCTTCAACTTCCAACTGTGTCCCCTTGTTACTGTGTCTAGTCTCTGGAACATCCTGTCTTTGTCCACCTTGTCAATTCCTCTCAGTATTTTGTAAGTCGTTATCATGTCCCCCCTATCTCTCCTGTCCTCCAGTGTCGTCAGGTTGATTTCCCTTAACCTCTCCTCATAGGACATACCTCTTAGCTCTGGGACTAGTCTTGTTGCAAACCTTTGCACTTTCTCTAGTTTCTTTACATGCTTGGCTAGGTGTGGGTTCCAAACTGGTGCCGCATACTCCAATATGGGCCTAACGTACACGGTGTACAGGGTCCTGAACGATTCCTTATTAAGATGTCGGAATGCTGTTCTGAGGTTTGCCAGGCGCCCATATGCTGCAGCAGTTATTTGGTTGATGTGCGCTTCAGGAGATGTGCCTGGTGTTATACTCACCCCAAGATCTTTTTCCTTGAGTGATGTTTGTAGTCTCTGACCCCCTAGACTGTACTCCATCTGCGGTCTTCTTTGCCCTTCCCCAATCCTCATGACTTTGCACTTGGTGGGATTGAACTCCAGGAGCCAGTTGCTGGACCAGGTCTGCAGCCTGTCCAGATCCCTTTGTATTTCTGCCTGGTCTTCGATCGAGTGAACTCTTCTCATCAACTTCACGTCATCTGCAAACAGTGACACCTTGGAGTTTATTCCTTCCGTCATGTCGTTCACAAATACCAGAAACAGCACTGGTCCTAGGACTGACCCCTGTGGGACCCCGCTGGTCACAGGTGCCCACTCTGACACCTCGCCTCGTACCATTACTCGCTGCTGTCTTCCTGACAAGTATTCCCTGATCCATTGCAGTGCCTTCCCTGTTATTCCTGCTTGGTCCTCCAGTTTTTGCACTAATCTCTTGTGTGGTACTGTGTCAAACGCCTTCTTGCAGTCTAAGAAAATGCAATCCACCCACCCCTCTCTCTCTTGTCTTACTGCTGTCACCATGTCATAGAACTCCAGTAGGTTTGTGACACAGGATTTCCCGTCTCTGAAACCATGTTGTCTGCTGGTGATGAGATCATTCCTTTCTAGATGTTCCACCATTCTTCTCCTGACAATCTTTTCCATGATTTTGCATGCTATACATGTCAGTGACACTGGTCTGTAGTTTAGTGCTTCATGTCTGTCTCCTTTTTTAAAGATTGGTACCACATTTGCTGTCTTCCATGCCTCAGGCAATCTCCCTGTTTCGATAGATATATTGAATATTGTTGTTAGGGGTACACATAGCGCCTCTGCTCTCTCTCTCAGGACCCATGGAGAGATGTTATCTGCCCCCATTGCCTTTGAGGTATCTAGCTCACTCAGAAGCCTCTTCACTTCTTCCTCGGTTGTGTGTACTGTGTCCAGCACATGGTGGTGTACCCCACCTCTCCGTCTTTCTGGAGCCCCTTCTGTCTCCTCTGTGAACACTTCTTTGAATCTCTTGTTGAGTTCCTCACATACTTCACTGTCATTTCTTGTTGTCTCTCCTCCTTCCTTCCTTAGCCTGATTACCTGGTCCTTGACGGTTGTTTTCTTCCTGATGTGGCTGTATAACAGCTTCGGGTCAGATTTGGCTTTTGCTGCTATGTCGTTTTCATATTGACGTTGGGCCTCCCTTCTTATCTGTGCATATTCGTTTCTGGCCTCTACGACTGTTTCTCCTTATTCTCCTGGGTCCTTTGCCTTCTATATTTCTTCCATTCCTAGCACACTTGGTTTTTGCCTCCTTGCATCTTTGGGTGAACCATGGGCTCATCCTGGCTTTTTCATTATTCCTGTTACCTTGTGTGTGTGTGTCTGTGTATGAGTGTATGTGTGTGTGTGTGTGCGTGTGTGTGTGTGTGTGTGTGTGTGTGTGTGTGTGTGTGTGCGTGTGTGTGTGTGTGTGTGTGGGTTGTGTGTGTGTGTGTGTGTGTGTGTGTGTGTGTGTGTGTGGTGTGTGTGTGTGTGTGTGTGTGACACAATCAATATTTGCACCAATAACTCATTACAGTTGTGACTGGGTGTGGAAGTGTGACTTGCTCATTACTCTATAATTTGTTCATGATTGTAGCCATGTATAAACGTAAGTAACCATTCTTACAGGATTCATTACCTTTGTAACTTATGAGTTCATTACCTTTGTACCTAGTTCAGCTATCAAAACTTTGGGGGCCCAGTCCCTGGACCCATTACGTACCTCTGTAATCTGTAAATACCTTTGTAACTTGTCATGATTGTGACCAGACCTACCTGGAGTTCATTACCTTTGTAAATTGTGAGTTCATTACCCTTGTTATTTTGAGTTCATTACCTCTTTAACTTGCTCAGCTATCAAAACTTTGGGGCCCAGTCCCTGGACCCATTATGCACCTCTGTAATATTTTGACTACCGCCCACAGGATGGGTATGGGGTGCATAATAAACATATTAAACTAACTGAGTCACACACACACAAACATACACACACACACACACACACACACACACACACACACACACACACACACACACACACACACACACAAATAGGTGAGTACGTTTGCCTTAAATCTTTTTAGCAGCTGGTCTCTGAATTTCATATTATCTAATATCTCAGTAGTCATCCAGGGTTCAGTTCTTCGTTTAATCCTAACCTCTTTAACTGGTACAATATTATCAAGGATGGTAGTGAACATTGTTTTGAATTTTTCCCAGGCATCGTTTACGTCCGTGAAACTTATCACTGTCCAGTCACAATTGTGTAGCCAATTTACCAGTGTTTCTTTACTCTAGTTTCTAGTTGACTTAATTTTTATTGCCCTGTGTTAGTCTGTCCTACCACTCGCTTCTCACCTTCACATATTCTTTCGCATAATTCCTTGAATCGAGTCTGAATTTCTTCCATTTCCCCAGGCGCTGCATGACCCCTACAGGTTTAGCGTTCCCCCATGAATGTCATAATAATAATACACTAGTCTTATAAAGGTACTGTTACAGTATTTCATACATGGGCAAAACCCACAGCTAAATATAACTCTGTCCCTTCTAAGTCATTCAGCAGCTTACTTTCATAATTAAAATTCTTAATGAATCCCTGCTGCTGAGGTCGAGGTTTTTCAGTAGAAACACGTGAAGAGAGCCCAGTTAGTGGCCGTTCATAGACCTTCATAGAATTCTGCATAGTGAAACATTCTGACCTTTGGTTATGTTTATTATGCACCCCATACCCATCCTGTGGGCGGTAGTCACCCCATACCCATCCTGTGGGCGGTAGTCACCCCATACCCATCCTGTGGGCGGTAGTCACCCCATACCATCCTGTGGGCGGTAGTCACCCCATACCCATCCTGTGGGCGGTAGTCACCCCATACCCATCCTGTGGGCGGTAGTCACCCCATACCCATCCTGTGGGCGGTAGTCACCCCATACCCATCCTGTGGGCGGTAGTCAAAAGATTACAGAAGTACATAATGGGTCCAGGGACTGAGCCCCAAAGTTTTGATAGCTGAGCAAGTTACAAAGGTAATGAACTCCAGGTAGATCTTGTCACAATTATGACAAGTTACAAAGGACAAGCGCCTAAAGTCGGTACCTGACCAGCCGGGCTGTGGCTCGTACGCTGGATTGCGTGCAGCCAGCAGTAACAGCCTGGTTGATCAGGCTCTGATCCACCAGGAGGCCTGGTCACAGACCGGGCCGCGGGGGCGTTGACCCCCGGAACTCTCTCCAGGTAAACTCCAGGTACAGTGGTTGCGCATTGAAATGACAATCTTAGAACCACAGGTTCGAATCTCGTCATTCTATTGAATGCTTACATTCGTTTGTTATGAATTTTCAGCCCAATAATAATGAACACATTACGTACTATAGTTAACACATATTTTTTTTAAATCGACTTAAAACTAAATGTGAGTTAAATTAGTATAATTCTTCATAGCTTATCACCTAATGCATTCCTACAATATTGTTACTACAACCATTATAGAAACGTAAACTACTCTGTATGTTTAAAGTGAATAAAACAATCAAGATTCAAGTACTTTAATATCGGGGTCTAGGTGAACTGCGACTTAATTCCTCAATAAATAGCCTATGTTTCTGGGTTTCCCAGTGGACTGGGAGAGCTTAACTGTGTAGCAGATGTACTGATACGGTTGGCCAGGACCTGGTAGAATCCATCTATGTGTGGAGTGGTGAAACGGGCCAGGATCAACTCCCCCAGTTGTATAGTGGTGGCGAGGCTGAGACCTAATACCAGCAGCAGGAAGCCGCCACTGAGGTGGTGCAAACCCAGCACCACCAACGTCGCCTCAGTCTGTAGCAGCTGGGTGGAAGAACATACACATTACTGGTGTCTTGGAGTGTAGAGCTGGACCACAACACACATAAACATCCCCTATTTGGTCATCTAGTACAACCACACTTCGAATAATAATATTGCAATGCTTTACAAGAGAAAGGGAGGCCTTAACGGTAGTGAGGGATAATTGACAAAAGAAATTGGAGGTTTATTTCCCTTGGAACAAACCTGATGACATTCGATTTTCCAGGCGCTGGATTACCTCTTACAAATTTTGATTTTCCCAACGAAAATAATAATAATAATAATAAATAATAATAATAATACAATGAAAATATAACAAGGAATTGGTAGACACTTTATAGACAGGAAGGTGAATCCAGCATAGTCATGGTAATTGTACGAAAATTTCAGGTTAAATGTGAAAACGCGTGTTACTTGGACAACGTTTCGCCCTGCGATGAGCTTTATCAAGTCCAACGACGTTAGTGTTGTTCACCAAGAAAGAGGTCGAGAGAAAAATGCTTAGAAAGAACACAAATGCATACACAAGTGCATAGTGTATTGAATACTTTTGTTTCTGGGACCTTGAGGTCATTCCAAACGATCAGTCGGAGTGACTAAAGTTCTAGGACTAAAACTCATTCAATAAAGATGTCGTAAGTATATGCACTGGTTTTCCTTCATCCGTATTATCCGTATAATGTCTTTTACTTAAAAAAAAAAAAAGAATTAGTGCATCATCGTAAAGTATAGCTGACCTCAGAAGGGCGGGACCACCGCTGCTCTGGGTTGCAGGATCTCTCCTGCAGGACACGCTGAGTGATCACGTCCCTCAGCCAGTGGCCGATGAGTCCTGCCTCTATCATCCTCTGTGTCATGACGGCCACCCGACGACGGAAGGGAGCCCCTTTCCTGACAAGGGAAAGAATCCTTCAAGGGGACGCCTTGATACTGGTGAAGGGCTCTTGATACGAGGAATTGGAGTTACCTCTTCTCTTTCTTGGATCAAACCTAGTTTGTGGCTCTATTAGTCAGGAATAAATTACTTGATACGCGTTTTTATCATTAGTATTATTTTCAGAGTTTTATTATGCATTCCATACCTATCCTGTCAAATGTAACCAAAACATTTGAGGCACATGGTTGATCCAAGGCCCAAAAGTTCTGTTTACGAAGAGTTATAATACTTATGAATTGTTTATAATATCTATCATAAGATGACCCATTCAAGAGTGCCAGTACTATGGCAGGGGCGCTGCCGAAAGATGGTGTCCAAGGGCATGGGTGAAGGTGAGGTTTATAGCAGTTGGCCCTATGATGGGCCAACTGATTTACCCATGCTGGACACGGTGGCCATGGAAGCAGAAACAGCGACCACTGGTTTATCCATGCTGAATTCGTTGGTCTTTACCTCCCTGGTGGGCCATGGCAGCAGTGGCTACTGGGTTATACGTGCTTGACTCAGTGGTGTGTGTCAATGACGAGTCACTGGACCAGCGAATTATAGCATGCCAATATTGGACTCAGTGGTCTGAGTGTCACTATGGTGAGGCAAAGCCGCATACTGGCTCACTCTTGCTCAGCCTCATAGTCTGACTGGTAACCTAACTATACTGAAGTACAAGAAAGTGGAAGGCCTCGACCCACCAGGAATAAGAAATCACATGACCACTCAGGAGACTTACCTGAACCCCCAGGAGGTGCCACCAGACTTGGGATAGCTTCGAGCGCTGGTGTGGATGGAACTGTGACCGAACCTGTCAGTGTAGTTTAAAGCGACGATGTAGTCATTCTGGAATTTGGTGGTGATGAAGGCATATTTCCCTTCCACCACCAGCTTCATGTTCTCCTTCAGTCCGTGTACCTCCATGAACACAAGTTATAATCAACCAACTGAAGATTACGTGAGGAAAATGTCATTTTAAAAGTCAATTAAAAAATATATGATGAGCAAATTATTGAGGATGGGACATCTCGAGCACAACTCTGCTCCTGTAGCAAATAATAAATATTTCTAATAAGTAATTAAAATAGAAATTAATAAACCAAATGACAGCAATATTATCATTTTGTTATATTTATAGAGAGTACAAATCCCACATGACACTAAAAATTTTAAATTGTTTATTGACACAAATTATGAACAGTTGTCCCCTCAAGGGAGGTCCCTAGATGCTGGTGAGGGGCTCCAATTCCATGAATTAATCCTGAATTTCAGCCTTGCATCCCCCCCCACAGGCACTGGATAATCCATACTGGTTTAGCGCTCCCGCATAATGTGTACATTTGCGGAAAAAGTTCCTCTACTCTCTCCTGTGCAGAAATATCATCAGAGCAACTTGTGACCACGATCATGACTGCTTGACGAAGTTAATTGCTGGTACTTCCTGTGTATGTATATAGAGTAGATTTATGAATGCAAACATGAATTAGTTACTGTTCGGATATTATAGCTAATACTATAAAACCATAAAAAATATTTGAAAAGGTGACCGAAAATATTGTAAGGGCAGCGCTGTATGACCCTTGTGGGTTTAGCGCTTAGTTTTGATTATAATATTGTAAAGGCAGTACCTGACCAACAGGGCTGTGGTTCGTACGTCAGTTTGCGTGCGACCAGCAGTAACAGCCTGGTTGATCAGACCTTGGTCCACCACGAGGCCTGGTCTCAGACCGAGCCGCGGGAGTGTTGACCCTCGAAACCCTCTCCAGGCATTACCCCCCAGGTAAACTCCAGATAACAGGTCTGTAATCATTATACATCAGTCATATCTAGCCACGTGACGCATGACTTTGATAGACGAGTTGGGTGATTAACTGAGGTTCAGTCTACACAATGTCTTACACTGGTAATTTGTATAATATATAATTTAAAATAATGTTCCACTACCCAAGGTGTACTGTAAGTAAACTATGTTGTAGCTACTTTTTACTATTATTAAACAAATAAATAACACACACAATGCATTATATATATATATATATATATATATATATATATATATATATATATATATATATATATATATATATATATATATATATATATATATATAGGTAGGGGTCGTCCTCGAAAGGGTTGGAGAGAGGGGGTAAAGGAGGTTTTGTGGGCAAGGGGCTTGGTCTTCCAGCAAGCGTGCATGAGCGTGTTAGATAGGAGTGAATGGAGACGAATGGTACTTGGGACCTGACGATCTGTTGGAGTGTGAGCAGGGTAATATTTAGTGAAGGGATTCAGGGAAACCGGATATTTTCATATAGTCGGACTTGAGTCCTGGAAATGGGAAGTACAATGCCTGCACTTTAAAGGAGGGGTTTGGGATATTGGCAGTTTGGAGGGATATGTTGTGTATCTTTATACGTGTATGCTTCTAAACTGTTGTATTCTGAGCACCTCTGCAAAAGCAGTGATAATGTGTGAGTGTGGTGAAAGTGTTGAATGATGATGAAAGCATTTTCTTTTTGGGGATTTTCTTTCTTTTTTGGGTCGCCCTGCCTTGGTGGGAGACGGCCAACTTGTTGAAACACACACACACACACACACACACATATATATAATATATATATATATATATATATATATATATATATATATATATATATATATATATATATATATATATATATATATATATATATATTTTGCAATAAGATCACAGTAAACAGGTGATTTCAGAATATGCAAAACAACCACTCTGAAAGAATAGAGAAATTCCAAGCGCTTTCATGACTACTCACATTATCAAGGAACTGAACTTCAGTTCCTAGATAATGTGAGTAGTCACGAAATCGCTTGTAATTTCTCTATTCTTTCAGAGTGGTTGTTTTGCATATATATATATATATATATATATAATATATATATATATATATAATATATATATATATATATATATATATATATATATATATATATATATATATATATATATATATTATTCTCCAGGGAAATTGGAAAAACAATTCTTCCTCCGTAAACCATGTGTGTCATAAGAGGCAACTAAAAAGCCAGGAGCAAGGGGCTAGTAACGCCTTCTGTATAAATTACTAAATTTAAAAAGAAAAACTTTCGTTTCTCTTTTTAGGTCACTCTGCCTCAGTGGGATACGGCCGGATAGACGACAAGAAGGTGGTGTGGGACTGCACATGTTCATCCACACTGGCTAGTACCTATATACCAAAACATCAGAGAGGAAGGAGGGGGCAGATGCCGACTCCAGGGAGTACTAAAAGTCTAGAAAATACGGTGAACTTACCCATCACTATATGTTTGTTCCCATATGCTTGGGATTACTAAACACCACAAACGATGTTGAAGTTTTGGCTGTAACATTGAAAAGCAAAACCTTGTCATTGTGCTTCTATACAAGCCACCTGATACAACTTCCCATCAATTCAAGGAACAGCTTTTGAAAATTGACTTCTGTCTGGAAAATCTCCCAATCCCAGCCCTAAATATCTTGTTGCTGGGTGATTTCAACTTAAGACACCTAAAATGGAGAAATGTGGCGAATAATATGCTAGCAGAGATAGCCCAAGGAGGCAGTTCAGGTGAAAATTCACACACATACATGAGCTATTAAATCTCTGTAACAAATTTACTTTAGGGCAGCAAATAGTGGAGCTAACAAAACTGAAAAATACGCTTGATTTGGTACGAAATAAAACAGTATCAAAGACAATAAACTCAGATCATAACATAACAGAAGTACAGACATGTATGCACAGGGCTCCTGACCAGCAAAATGAGATCAGTTATGACGATGCTTTTACCAAATTCAACTTCACTAACAGAAACATACAGTGGGATCAGATCAACACTTTCCTAAATGAAACAAGTTGGGAAAATATCCTAAACAACACGGATCCGAACCTTTGTCTAGAAAAAATTAACTTTGTGGCGCTTGAGGTATGCTCAAGGCACGTTCCCCTAAGAAAAAAGAAGTATGAGAGACGCTTCCTCAACATGCGAAGGTGAAGAATCACAAAGGTGCTGAAAGGGGCCAGTATATTTGAAATACAGAAGGAGGCACAAGCCAGAGAAACAGAAAATATCAAACTTAGGCTTAGGAAATCACACAGGAGCCAAGAAACACTGGAAGAACTTAAAGCCATAAATGAAACTGAAAAAAACTTTTCTTATGCCAAATCTAGGGCAAAAACCACATCCAGCGTTGGGTCTCTGCTTAAACGAGATGGGACTTACACAAATGACAGCAAAGAAATGAGTGTGATACTTAAGTCCCAGTATGACTCAGCGTTTATTGAGCCGTTAATCAAAGGGTCGACAATCTCAATTTTTTTTTTATGACCAAGACTCAAAATTTAGTTAATTCGAGAATTTCTGATATAATCCTAACACCATAGGACTTTGAAAAAGCAATAAATTACATGCTCATGCACTCTGCCCCAGACTCAGACTCGAGGAACTTTGTGTTCATCAAGAACTGCAAGAAACCCCTTCACGTGCATTAACTATTCTCTGGAGGAGCATGGACACAGAGGTCATCCCACAGTGGCTAAAAACAACAGATATACTCCCACTCCACAAGGGTGGCAGCAAAGCAATTACAAAAAATTGCAGACAGATTGCAATGTCGTCCCATACCACAAAAATCTTTGAAAGGGTTCTAAGAACCAAGATCGTCAACCACTTGGATACCCATCAGTTGCACAACCCAGGGCAGCAAGGGTTTAGAACAGGTCGCTCCTGTCTTTCACAGCTAATGGATCACTATGACATGGTCTTGAATGCAATGGAGAACAATCAAAATGCAGATGTAGTATACACTGACTTTGCGAAAGCCTTCGACAAAAGTGATCATGACGTAATAGCATACAAAATGCGTGATAAAAAAATAACAGAAAAAGCTGGTAGATGGATTTATAACTTCCTAACAAACAGCACACAAAGAGTAATAATAAATAAAGTGAAGTCAGAGGAGGCTACAGCGAAAAGCTCAGTTCCACAAGGTACAGTAGTGGTGCCCATCCTTTTCCTCATCCTCATATCTGACATAGACAGAGATGTAAGCCACAGCACCGTGTCTTCCCTTGTTGACGATACCAGAATTTGCATGACAGTGTCATCCATCGAGGACACTGCAAATCTCCAAATGGACATTAACCAAATCTTTGAATGGTCGTCAGAAAAGTATATGAAGTTCAATGAAGACAAATTTCAATTACTCCACTATGAAAAACTCGAGAAAATAAAAAATGTATCGGAGTATAGAACAAATTCCAATCACACAGTAGAGCGAAAAACTAATGTCAGAGAATCTCACTTTCAAAGATCATAACACAGCATCGAGGGGGTTTCGGGGGCGTTGACCCCCAAAACCACCTCCGGGTATACTACAGGTATCACTCCTGTCCTTCAGTGGTCAGGTTGATTTTCATTAATTTCTCCTAATAGTACATACCTCTTAGCTCCTTTAGTAGTCTTGTTGCAAATCTTTGCACTTTCTCTAATTGCTTATTAACGTGCTTGATCAGGTGTGGGTTCCATATTGATGCTCCATACTCTAATATGGGCCTGACGTACACAGTGTACAGAGTCTTAAATGATTCCGTACTTAGGTGTCGAAACGCTATTCTTAGGTTTGCCAGGCTCCCATATGCTGCAATAGTTGTCATGACTCACGAAATCGTAATGACACGATTGCAAACAAGCCATACCACGGGTGGGAATTGAACTCGTGGTGAGTCGTAAAACTTCAGACCAACGCGTAAGCCACTGGGCCAGCTGACTACAAGATTCATCCAATTACGTATATTTATACACCATAGAGAGGTTAGCACACGCCTCACTGTGACCACAAATGCAAGTTTTACAGATAAATCTCCTGCCAGCGTGGCCATGGCGAACTCTAGCTCTAGTTTGTGGTGCCCCGTGGCCTGGTGGCTAAAGGTCTCGCTTCACAAGGCGAGTGTCTGGGTTCAGTTCCCAGCGAGGGTAGAAACATTGGGCGTGCTTCTTTACACTGGTTGTTGCGTGCCTTGCATGAGACCCAGGGTGTATTTATTATATGTGTATATTTTTATATTCACTTAATATTATGTTGTCTATATCTTCATTAATAGCTAAAATGGAGATATTCTGATTTATATTATCTGACCATGTATTATTTAGCTATGCACATAGGTAGGATAGGTTTTATTGAATTAAGTCTGGAACTACTGTGCTAACTACCATAGGATAGTTGAGTCAATCGGTCTCTCGGGAAGGTGTCAGTAAGTAAGTAAGTTTATTCAGGTATACACAAATACAGTTACATAGAATTATCGTACATAGCAGCATATGTGTAGAGAACCTAGGATAACCCAAAAAAGTCAGAGTGACTTATTTCCATTGGGGTCCTCATGAACCGAGTTGACGTCTGGTTTAGAGGCGTTGCCTGAGTGAGTTCCAACCTACCTTTAGCCGTGGAAACATCTTGACCTTTGTCTAGACTCAAGTTTTTGGTTACCTAATGGTTCCGTTGGTGAGACGGAACCCATTTCTCGCTACACTAGGCATCAGTGAAGGACAGAGTTATTTCTGGACTTAGAGATTCTGATAGCTACTAAGGTTGTGAGTTTCTCCGAACTTATGTTCAGTAAGAAGGGAGCTTTAGTACTCCTATTGGGTTTCTATTGGAAATCTCGGCTGTGTTTTGTCTGTTATATTTCGATAAACAGGTTAGTTTCTTACTTGATGAATTATCGTTTACCTGGAAAGGGTTTCGGGAGTCAACGCCCCCGCGGCTCGGTCTGAGACCAGGTCTCGTGGTGGAGAAGACAAAAAGAATGCAGATGTAATATATACAGACTTTGCAAAAGCCTTCGACAAGTGTGACCATGGCGTAATAGCACACAAAATGCGTGCTAAAGGAATAACAGGAAAAGTCGGTCGATGGATCTATAATTTCCTCACTAACAGAACACAGAGAGTAGTCGTCAACAGAGTAAAGTCCGAGGCAGCTACGGTGAAAAGCTCTGTTCCACAAGGCACAGTACTCGCTCCCATCTTGTTCCTCATCCTCATATCCGCATAGACAAGGATGTCAGCCACAGCACCGTGTCTTCCTTTGCAGATGACACCCGAATCTGCATGACAATGTCTTCCATTGCAGACACTGCAAGGCTCCAGGCGGACATCAACAAATCTTTCAGTGGGCGCAGAAAACAATATGAAGTTCAACGATGAGAAATTTCAATTACTCAGATATGGTAAACACGAGGAAATTAAATCTTCATCAGAGTACAAAACAAATTCTGGCCACAAAATAGAGCGAAACACCAACGTCAAAACCTGGGAGTGATCATGTCGGAGGATCTCACCTTCAAGGACCATAACATTGTATCAATCGCATCTGCTAGAAAAATGACAGGATGGATAATGAGAACCTTCAAAACTAGGGAGGCCAAGCCCATGATGACACTCTTCAGGTCACTTGTTCTATCTAGGCTGGAATATTGCTGCACACTAACAGCACCTTTCAAGGCAGGTGAAATTGCCGACCTAGAAAATGTAGAGAACTTTCACGGCGCGCATAACGGAGATAAAACACCTCAATTATTGGGAGCGCTTGAGGTTCCTAAACCTGTATTCCCTGGAACGCAGGAGGGAGAGATACATGATTATATACACCTGGAAAATCCTAGAGGGACTAGTACCGAACTTGCACACGAAAATCACTCACTACGAAAGCAAAAGACTTGGCAGACGATGCACCATCCCCCAATGAAAAGCAGGGGTGTCACTAGCACGTTAAGAGACCATACAATAAGTGTCAGGGGCCCGAGACTGTTCAACTGCCTCCCAGCACACATAAGGGGGATTACCAACAGACCCCTGGCAGTCTTCAAGCTGGCACTGGACAAGCACCTAAAGTCAGTTCCGGATCAGCCGGGCTGTGGCTCGTACTTTGGTTTGCGTGCAGCCAGCAGCAACAGCCTGGTTGATCAGGCTCTGATCCACCAGGAGGCCTGGTCACAGACCGGGCCGCGGGGGCGTTGACCCCCGGAACTCTCTCCAGGTAAACTCCAGGATCAGGATCTGATCGACCAGGCCGTTACTGCTGGCTGCACGCAAACTGACGTACGAACCACAGTCTGGTTGATCAGGTACTGACTTTGTGGCTGTCCAGTGTCTTTTTGAAGACATCGTACTAGAAACCAGCGATTATTCGAGGACAGATGTAAAATTTATTCTTGTACTTATATAGGGTCGACTTACAATGAGACGTTTCCGTTAAGGATTGTATCTCTAAGATATATATGGTTAATTATGCCTTGTGGCTATGGAAAAATCACTTTAACTAAAAGTTCCAAAACTGTATTATAAACTTATGGCCATTGTTATTACTGTAGTCTAAAGAACCTTTCGGCATTTTAAACAAGAGAGTTTTCACATTATTTCTTTTAAGGCAAGTTAATAAAGATATTAAATTATTATTTTCTCGGATTATTGTCTCCTGATTATAACTTACAAGAAGCCTATTAAGATGCTCTTATATACTAAAGATAGAGCTGTCGGTAATCCAACACATTGTTACAAGAAGCGAAGATTTTCACAGGCTACTTGGTAAGGAGATTTATCCCAAACTCCACGGATTTCTCCTCTCGCTTCTATAGCATACTCAGCAAGACACATAACTTCTCTCTTTTTGTGACAGTTGTCTATGTTCACTCATCAATAAAATGGGTACCCGGGTGTTAGTCGACTGGTGTGGGTCGCATCCTAGGACAAAACAGACCTAATTTGCCTGAAATGCTCTGCATAACAAGCGACTTTCTATATAGTAGCATGCCATTGATGTCAGCTAGGACTGTATACCTTGTACTTGTAGAAATAGATATTATGATTATTATGATCGTGTCATTACGATTTTGTGAGTCATGATGACTCACGAGATCATAATGACACGAGCCTCGGTTAATCACCCAACTCGTCCATCAAAATCATGCTTCACGTGAGTAGATATGACTGATGTATAATGATTACGGACCTGTTATCGATCATAACATTCCCTAACAATATATGAGGACACCTTTTCAAACAATTTTTCTGGTTTTATAATATTCGATATTATATTCAGTCATAAATCTATTTCATATAGATATACAGAAAGTATCGTCAATAAATGTTGTCAACGAGTCACCAATGTCGTTACAAGGTGTGTTAATTTATTCATGACAGTCTTTACTACTCTTCTTTACTACGTCTGAGTTGCCTGATATTATTTCTGCCCAGGAGAGAGAGTAGAGAAACTTTTTTTTTTCCTCAACTATCCATAGGTATGCTCCCCTCAAAGTGAAGGACCTCTCCTCCGTTCTCTTGGATCGAGCCTGATTGCCTTCATTCTCCTCTCCCCAAGACGCTGTTTGACCCTATGTGTTTAGCACTTCCCTATTATACGTAGTAATAATAACATCAGCATGGTGCTGTTACCCTGATCTTAGAGCTCGAGTTTGCTATGTCTTATGCAATTAAGCAGACCACATGATGACATACTTCCATCTTGCTATAAATCTCCTGCAGTGTAGGGTCGGTGCTGAGGTTGAAGTATAGCACTGAAGCCCCCAGCAGAAGCTCGCTCCCCCATCGCCACCCTTTCTGCTTCAACAGATCCTCAAAAGAGTTCACCGGCGCCGTCTTCTCCTCCACTGTCAGATGAGCTGAGAGTGAAGATCTATATGCAGCTGTGATCACCAAACACGTTAGCATCCACCAGCCTGCAAACACCTGCATAAGAGACCGTGGGTGTTTGCAGCCAACAAAACAGCAACTAAAACGACCACAATGCTGTCTAAAAAGTGCCTCGAATCAGCACTGATCGCTGTTTCGAATACAATTAAACAAAACAAGGGCAGCTTCACCATCCCTGAAGTCTTAGCAAGAATCCTCCTGAAAACAGTAAACCCTGCCATCAGTCTCTCCCGTTATACTACACAAAGCACATTACAGAGAGTGAACACTGAAACAGGCCTTCTCTATCCAGTCTATATTTGTCCAACCTATTTTTGTTACCCAAGTAATAGCTTTTATATCCTTTTACTCATGTACGAATTAATTGTTCTACCATATTGTATTACTACTACTACTACAACTTTTGTCACTACTACTACTACCACTAGTATTGCACCTCTGAACCTTTATATACCCTCTGTGTCCATACACTGTTTGTATCGGCTTGACAAAGCTCCTGGAGAGCGGAACGTTGCCACAATAAAATGTCACATTAGTTGCACTTGTGTCCTTTTACTTTACACATAAGGATTCTGGAGGGATTCGTCACCCACCCCATGAAAGCAAAAGCCTTGGTAGACGGTGCAAAATACCTTCAATGAAAATTAGGGGTATGATGAGTACACTAAGAAACAGCTCACTATGTGCAAGGGAGCCACGACTCTTCAACACCCTTTCTTCATACATAGAGGAAATTACCATCAGGTCCCTAGCTGTCATCAAGAGGGAACCTGAAAAATTCAAGTCAGGACCTGATCAGCCAGGCTATGGTGCATACATTTGTATACTAACAGCGTAGTCAATCAGGCTAGCTAGCAACCAGGAGGCCTGATCTGTGACCGGGCTGCAGGGAAAGTGAAACCTTCCCCCCCCCTCATCGAAACCGTTGACAGGTAAAGGTCTTACCCTGGCACTGAAGTGTCTAGGAGGGGCGTAGGGTGGGTTGTCCAGCAGCACACCTGAGGTGTATAAAGCAACAGTACTGAACTTTGCAGGCTGACCATCTGTCAAATTCGTCCATGCCATCTGCAGCAGCCACAGCACCACCCCGGCAACTACACAGCTTCCCGCCACCACCACCCACGCTTCTCCTACAGGAAAAACTGCTGTTGATGAATATGCTTGTGAGCCAAGCTAAGCGTTGCCATATGCTACAAAAAAAAAAGCGTCTCATTCTACATAAACACACTTAAAAGTAACTCATTTTATTACAGGTCCATCTCAAACTAAATTATTCATTCTCGTATATCTGTCTAACCCACTATGGCTAATATACTGTGAGTCGGAATAGTGGGATGTAAACAGAACCTGCCTAGCATTTGCCAGTAGTAGGTTTACTGCTGTGTTCCTCTATGGTAGAAGGTATACTGCAGTGCTCCTCTATGGTAGAAGGTACACATTAGTGCTCCTCTATGGTAGAGAGTACAGTGCAGTTCTCCTCTGTTTCTGTATTAACTGAAAGATCTAGGTTTTAAAAGTTTCCCCGATTACCTGACTAAATTCTTCGGTTTAGGAGACTCACTTGTGAATGGTTTGACAGGTACAAGGGAATAGGCCAAGGGTTGGGACTTGGCCGAAACAATGACAAATGGGTCCAAGGCATAGATTCTGGAGTGGTCCATGACCCGGAGCCTGGAGTCGGTGGGGGTTATGGTGGTGGAGAAGTCAGCACGTTCATGCTGCAGTGTCCCCACCAGACCTGTCCAGTTACCCGTACTATCCTCAGTTCCCCAATCCCCGTCCCACGCCTCGTGTAGCTCGTACCTGCAACACAGTGATTGTGTAGCTCGTACCTGCAACAGTGATTGTGCAGCTCGTACCTGCAACACAGTGACTGTGTAGCTCGTACCTGCAACACATTGATTGTGCAGCTCGTACCTGCAACAGTGATTGTGATTTTATAGCTTGCACCTACAATGAAACTGATGTTTTTTAATTCATGCCAAGAAACTTATAAGCAAAGATAGCAGAGGAGTGTGCGTTTAGGCATAATACAAAAACAACAAACATGTACGCAGTGAATGGTGAGCAGCTGACGAACTAAGAATGTTAAATACGAAGTATGAAAAGCCTTTTTATTTGATGACGTTTCGCACTGCACATAGTTTTATTAAATGTTGAAAAAGCCCTATTTAGAGCGAACTCTATATTCGTATGAATGTGAGTAAGATACTGACGAATACACGGGTACACGGATGAATTGTAAGTCATCTCTGTGTTGACTGATGAAGCCTGAGGCGCAGGTAAAGCGTTTCGTTAACGTACTACAGATGTCTTACTCATTAACTTGATTCATATGTTAGAAAGAAGATCACGATTAAACATTACGTTAAAAAAACAGAGATGCACAGAAGACTTGGATAGAGACTGAATAAAATGCCGACTATTGTGAAACAAGACAAGTGCGGCGTTATGATATATTCATCAGGAACGAAGTCGTGATACTAGTGTCATGACTTCGTCCAAATAATGATCCGTCACTTGCTCCGGAAGGAGTATCGGAATTTGTGAAAGTGGGATACCGCATAAAGCCTTTTGGCGGAGGCAGACTTGTGGCGAGGGTCCGAAGTTACTTCAGTATAAAAATGTGTAACCACAATCGTCGCTGATACCCTGTGTTGGAGGCGGCACAAGGTATCTTCGGTTTAGTGTGTACGATAGTGTAAGTCATCTCACTCAATAAATTCGTCTATCCTTTCCCCATTCGCACGGATCCCGTAGGTAGTAACAGAGGTATTGGTGCAGCAGGAGTCAGGGTTGTGTCTTTGGTGTCAGCTCTTAGAAACTTGGCTCCATGGAAGCCACCTCTGCCGTTCGGGCCTCACCCAGAGCGCCTGGGTGACGGCTCAGTAGATTCTGTGGAGGTTTGCTCTAGCAAGAAAGTGTTGAGCAAGTTCCTGTAAGTTACATTTTTACATTCAGCGGGAAGCGCTAATCCCTTAGGGATAATACGATTCCTTTGGAATGGTATTAAATAAGACTTGATCCCAGAAAGGTTAGGTATACATTGTCCAGGCAGACAATATGTGTACACTGTGAGCAGCCTTCAGCTATTTTGAGTGACTGAGTATCTACTTAGTCACTCAAAATACCCAGAACTTGAACTACGTAGGGGTGGCTGCTCTTCGAGTTCCGAGGCAATGGCTGGATCGAGACAGTCTGCTTCTTTGTCGAAGTGCACAGGTTCAAACTTATAGATATGAAGAGGCTTATGGGTGTCTAGGTCGTCAAATAACCCCTGTATAATGTGGCTGTATGAGAATGACCACCTGAGACACATGTGGGCCTCCTCACAAGAACTCACCTGAAGTTTACCTGGAGTTACGCGGAGGGCATTCCGGGGATTAACTCCCCCGCGGCCCGGTCCATGACCAGGCCTCCTGGTGGATCAGGGCCTGATCAACGAGGCTGTTACTGCTGGGCGCACGCAGTTCAACGCACGAACCACAGCCCGGCTGATCTGGCACTGACTTTAAGTATCTGTCCAGCTCCCTCTTGAAAATAACCAGGGCTCTATTGATAATTCTCCTTATGGCTGGTGGGAGGCTGTTGAACAGTTTTGGGCCCCAGACACTTACTGTGTTTTCTCTTAGTGTACCAGTGCCCCCTATCAGGTTCCTCGCAGATGTGACAGTGGCATTGTTGTGGTCCTTGAAGATGAGATGCTCGGACATTACCACTCCCAGGTCCTTCACATTGCTTTTCCGCTCTATTGTGTGATTTGAGTTTCTAGTATACTCAGCCCCAGTTATTATTTCCTCCAGTTTTCCGTAACGGAGTAACTGGAATTTGTCTTCATTGAACATCATATTGTCCTCCGTTGCGCATTGGAAAACTTGGTTTATATCTTCTTGGAGATTTGCCGTGTCCTAAATGGATGACACTCTCGTGCAGATCCTAGTATCGTCTGCGAAGGATGATACGGAGCTATGGCTTACATCTCTGTCTGTCTGATATGAGAATGAGGAACAAGATAAGGGCGAGTACTGTGCCTTGTGGAACAGAGCTCTTCACTATGGCAGCTTCCGATATAACTGTTTGCCACAACTCGACAATTTCTTACCAAGTCTCGCTAGATTCTTAGACATAATGATCAGGACAAGAAGCTACTATATTTAGTGCCCTGCAATCCCCAGACCTGAGTGTATATATCTTACCCAAAATTCTTAGTCAGGTTTTCTCACGAAAACCATAGTCAAACATTTATCCAAACTCTATAAGTCAAACACCCATTCGGGGATCTTATCAACCGTATACAGGACATATGTTAGAAACAAGCAGCTCACTTGTTTTGATGTTACTTCTTTACATACCAAGGTCCCCACCGTGTAAGATATCATTCTGCTTCCCCGCAAGGCCACAGACAATATGAACTTCCATTTGCAGGCCATAATACATTGTCTGTGTTTGGATAAATTTCCAGTGTTGATAGACTTTATTAAAAGAAAGATTAAATTTCACCTTGAATTTACGAAGTTTAAATTGTCAACTTAATTAAATATAAATTGATTTCAATGCAGTAACTTGAAAATGCCTCTTCTGGTCGACTTCAAACACTTAAGATTAGTGTATCTTAATCGGAAATGCGTTTAATAGAATCTGGTCTTCACACCTGACAATTTGTCAATTTTATAGATGTTTTTATCAAATTTTGGCTTACTTTAAAAAAGACTACAAACGAATATTTTTTCTTAGATGATTGTAAAGAACTGTAACTAGAATTGAACCGCAAAAAATAGAAAATGGTGAAATATTGAAAATTCACGCTTTTATAGTGTTTTTAAATATAAAAATTGTAGTGAAACCTTAAAAACGTCGAGCCACGGCCGCCACATTGTGAGCTACAGTTTTATCAACTACTACTAACATCCTCATAGGCTTTTGTTTATAACTTAAGAACGCCTTATCCGATCTGACTCAAATTTTCAACTTTGGTCAACTAATACTAGCTGAAGGAGCATGGAACAGTTGACAAGTGTACGTGCCCTCTGCTCAGTTTTGTATAGATCATTCCCGAAATTGATTCACAATTTCAACACTCGTAAATTCAGCTCTGGTTGGTATTGTTGATGGAATGTCTAGATGCCATTTTGCCAATTTTATTCTCAAAGTGTAATAGTAATATTTTGTTAATTGGATTATGCTCCCTGAAGTGGGGTACCTTGATGCTGGTCAGGGGATCCTGATTCAAGGAACTGGAATTATCCATCCTTTGCTTGGATCGAATCTGTATTCCTCCAGTTCTAGAGGCGCTAATAGGTCCCCTCTGGGTTTAGCGCTTTTCCTTGGTTAAAATAAAACAATTGTGAATGACATTAATCCTTAATGACGTGTGTCGTATGAAGTGGATGAAACGCTTCTTAATTATAAGCTGCGTAGGTACAAACTTTGTTGGATCCTGTGCAAGCTGGAGAATGCATCTTCTGATCGGCTTTAAATTTTTAGTGTTGATTTGTTTTCCTCAGAGGAAGCTTTCCATTTATTTCTAGGTTGAATAAGGTTTAGTGTACCAATTTTATTAAATCAGTTTTTGTGAAATAACTGGAGACTGTCTCTTTAATCAGAAATAAGTTAGTGCTTGACTTTATTGGCTATTCTAAGTTAATTCTGCATAATATACTTTATGTGCTTATACCATGTGTGTCTTAAGGGCACGCACATGGTATAACCATTTTTTTTAAATTGTATGTTACCCAAAGCTTAAATAAGTCTTGTTTAAAATCTGGTCAACATTAAAGAAAAAATCTGGATTAATTTTGAATTGTGTAGGGTTCAATTTACGTTTTTTTTTTTTTTTAAGAAATTGGAAAACTCGAAATACAATATTGTTTTCATGTGACATTTTCTGAGTGTTGCATCCTAGTAGCTTTACCCTTCAACGCTGACAACTACATAATACAACTCTTGAGCGGCTTCAAACTTAGTGTTAGTGCATTTTAAGATATAGGTCTCTCTGAAATAACAAGAGAATGTCTTATCAGTTTGGATTTAAAGTTGGTGTTTCTTAGCGGAAAGCTTGAAATAGCTTTGAGCTGCGTATATCCTAATCTGCCGTTTTTATTAAAATCTGGATATTAGTTTCCCTGTGATGACTTGTAAATACCTCTTCTGATTTGCTTCAGATCTTCAGTGTTAATATTTAACTGCAATATAAACTTATGCCACACTCTGCATTATTCCAGTCACGTGCATTGAGGTACAGGGAACTGAAGTTATCAAATACAGAAATAAATTTCTGATTGCGCAGCGACTAAGACATGTCCGTGGCAACAGTCGTGACTTAGTTCATTCTTCACCACCAAGACACAGCGATCACCTAAACGTGGAAGTTTTGGAACACCTCAATGGGCCTCTTTGCCCATGCCTGGCAGGTTCTTCACCTCCCACCCTGGCAGGCAGTGCTGGTCCAGCCACCTTTTTCCCATTCCTCACGTTCTTGTTCACTATTTATTTATTTTTATTTATTTATTTATTTATTTAAAATTTGAGCACACATACAGAGGTACAAAAAATACAGATAAGAGCAGCATGCCAAAGCCACTTATACTATGCATAGCATTACGGGCTGGCTTAAAATTAACTTAAGATTAACTAAGCAATGATGAAATCAGTGATAAAACTTTAATGTAAACAGATTACTATAAAGCACAAGTGAGTATTACAAAGACAGGTCATATGGTTGTATGCATTGTTGTACATTCAGTAGAATGGAGTATTCTGTTAGGTAGTGTATTTAAAAAATAATAAAGTTAGATTGGGTTTTA